TCTATAGAATGGGAAACCGCAAAACGGCGACCAATATGGTCAAAATGCTCCTCCCAAAGGAGCAAACCAGCATCTTTGAGGTCAAGTACCTCCTAAATCTCTCAGTAGCTATCGAACCCCAAAGGCATCCCCAAACGAACATCAGGCACATTCCTCAGTGCAAGAGGTGCCAAAAATTCGGCCACACAATGGCAAACTGCATGGCAAAACCATTCTGCCACAAGTGCGCCCAACAGCACTTCTACTCAGAGTGCAAAAAGCCGAGAGACATCCCGGCTAAATGCATAAACTGCGAGGGTCCCCATCCGGCAAGCTACTTCTCTTGCCCCAAAAATCCAAACTTCCTTGCCCAACAGCAAGAAAAAGCCAAGACAGCCAGCCTCCAGAACAAAGTTTCACCTGGCATCTCCTACGCCGCCAAAGCTTCCGAAGCCCAGGCTCAAGCACCCCCAAAGCCCGCCGCTTCAGACCCCTCCCCCCCGTTCAAGCTACCCAAAAAGCCCCCCGTGAACCCCAAAACGCCCTGCCCCGTGCCCCACAGAACACCTGCATTAACCCTGCGCTAATGCAACTTCTCCTCATGCCTGAGAGCGAAATCCAGGCCAAAATCAACAAAATTTCTGCCATGATTGGCAATTGCCCGGCTCTTCAAGCACTGGCATGAACTTAAATCCAGCCGGCGTCCACATCGTTTCCTGGAACGCCAACTCTTTGTACCACAAAAGGTACGAATTTAAAGGCTACCTCCGGGAAAACGATGTGGACATCGCGTTAATCCAGGAGACTTTTCTGCAAACCCAAACACTCTTCCAAATTAATAATTATAAAATCTACCGTAACGACCGCCCCAACAGTCGAGGGGGCGGCACTGCCATTATTGTCAAAAACTCCATTTCCCATTCCCCAAACCCCCCTATCGCCAACACCTCAATCGAACACACGTCGCTCACCCTTAACATGGAAAACTCCCAGATCCTCATCATTTCGGCCTACAAACCACCTAATACACGCACAACCGAACTCGATTACTAGAACCTTCTCAATCGAAACATCCCGACATTACTCGCTGGAGATTTGAACTCCAAAAACACTTCCTGGGGCTGCAGGAAAACAAACCCTGAGGGGCGCAAGCTCCTCAACTACGCACAAAACTTACAATTCCAAATTCATGCTCCCTCAGAGCCAACACACTATGACCA